TATAAGACAATGCTCTTTGCCAAGTACAAATATGACCAAAAAGGACTGCCTGAGTTCAGGGTCACGTGAAGCCTTCGCCATAGCTATTACACCCTTCCGTACCCTTCCCTTCCCCACTGCAGAGGGATGTGCTGAGGCATCCCTGTGCTGTCAGCAGGCACCAAAATTTTTAGCCAGACTCTTCTCGGTGGTTCCCAGTGACAGGACGAGGGGCAATGGGCACAAGTTGGAACATAGGAAGTTCCGTTCCAACACACGGAAAAACTTCTTTACAGTTCGGGTGACAGAGCACTGGCACAGGCTGCCCAGGGAGGTTGTGGAGTCCCCTTCTCTGGAGATTTTCAAGACCCGCCTGGATGCAGTCCTGAGTAATGTGCTCTGGGCAATCCTGCTTTAGCAGGGGAGTTGGACTAGATGATCTCTAGAGGTCCCTTCCAACTCCGAAAATTCTGTGATTCTGTGAGCCTTGTGGGGTGAGAAGCAGCAGCCGGCACCCGGTGGCACCGAATCCACAGGAGATACAGGTGGACTTTTCTCACCTGCAGTCTATTGAAAGCACACAGTATACATTAGGCATTAATTCAGTGGTTAGATGCATCTCAGTGAGATATCCATTCTAGCGTGGAGTGGTGTTAGCCACAGAACTGAGAGATCTGCATCCCAGCAGTTTTGGGATACAGGGACACCAGAGTCCAGCAAAGGACCAGGGGCCTCTTTCGTCAAAGGCTGTTCTCTTGACCTTTCCTTCTGGTTGAGGAAATTGCATAGGGTAGTAAACAAAATAGGAAATTATGGTGTTTTAAAGATAATTTTTAGAGATATCGGTTGGCAATATGGATATTTTTAAGTTGCTTGCTTCTGGGGTATAGTCACATTTTTTGGTAAAATTTTAAACAGTCAGTTAATGGGCTCTAAATCTTCAGGATTTTAATAAGAGACTTTAGAAATAGATTACTTAAATCTCTGAGAGCGTTAATTGCAAAATATATATTTCCATTAACTTCAAACTGAAACTAGTGTTAATTATTTATGACTTATGTAAAAAAAGACAACCGTAGTAAAAGGGCTGAGTTATTGCTACAATTCTGGTTTGATTGTGGTTTCTTCGGGGTTTTTTTTTTTTTTTTCATAATGCCCATTCAGACAGAAGGAATAAACTTTGTGACATCTGATGTAGGCATGAAGCCTGACATCTTATGCTTTTGTAAAAACGTGTAAAGCTTTTCCAAAGAATGTTAGTTGAATCAGTAAGTCAGAACTAGAGAAGGCCTAAGGATAAGGCTGTCTTTTTCAGCCTGAAATTGCTCTCATGCACACTCCACTTAAAAAATTAAAATAAAAATTTGCACAGTTGGATGTCCAGTCTTGCCCAGTTCCCATGTGGATTGTGATTTAAAACTGAAAGCAGGGCACCACCTGCACAGTTTGGCTGTTGTAATGAAGTCCCGGGAGAGTTATTTCCTAGGGAATTACATGACTTGAATAACAGGCCTGCTGGCTCTTCTACCCTCTTTATAATTTTTATAATTTTGACTGGTTTTCCTGTTTGCAGCTTCTCTGAACCGTCCTGTGGAGCTGGTGATCTGCAGCGATAAGAGGAGCAATATTATAAGGGATGCACAAGCATAACCAAGTATTGTAAGGGATGCATAAAGAGGTTTGAAGTAGAGTATTATAAATGGCAGTGCTGTGGTATTGTGGATTTCAGGGATAGAGTGCTTTACATCATGAAATTTAGACCTTTTTTGCCATCTCAGTTGTTGCTCAGACCACAGATACTGTGTTTGTGGACTTTGTAAATCAGTTGGTATTTTGTGCTGGGAGTAGCCTGTAAAAAGTCTTGGAATTGATAATTAGGCAGCTGTGGTATATAATCAATACAAATCCTGGTGACTGAGTCCTCAGGCATGGAACAGGCTTGCCCCGAATGCAGCACAGCGGTGAAGGAAGCAGGCAGCGGCGCAAAAGTGAAGAAATCTCAATAGGGGTTTTTTTTGAGTTTTGGGGTTGGTTTGGGTTTTTTTGTTGTTGGTGGTGTTTGTTTGTTTGTTTGGTTTTTTAATCTTCATGTTGTAGTCCACTATCAGTTTCTCCCACAGCTCTACTGGCAGAGAGGTGGTGGAAGGGTGGTCGCATCAGCTGCAGAAAAGGTGGTGGGGTTAGTTTATATGGTATTTAGCGATGGTTTAAGCGAACAGGACACTGGCAGCGCTGAGAAGCAGCTGGAGGCAATGTCAGCCACCAGCCTGCCCCTGGCCTCAAGTGGCACCGCCGCAGCAAAGCACAGCCAAGGGCACTTGTCCCTGCTCCAGCGGCGTTAAGGCAGTAGGATGGGGCAGTCGTAGCAACAGGTCTGTCTGCTCACCTCTTTCAGCGATGAGCAATAGGAAGTTCACAGAGGACAAACTCTTGTGATTTCAGTAAATAGAACGTGTCTCTGGGTATACCTTTCCCAAGAAAGAAGGCTTGTCATGGTAATTTAAAACATGACAGTGAAAGCCCTGTCTTCTCAATAACTTTTCTTATTTGAATTTTTGTTCAAAATTTATAGTAAGCTATTTTTAAAAGTTTTTAATGCACAGAAGAAGTTAATCACAACCTTCCAAAAGAGAGGTGTGGGTATCTTTGACCGTAACAAGTATTTGGCCAAAATATCTCACGAGTGTATTTACCATATGACACTGCCTGCTGCTCTGTAGCAGACTGCCATGTGAGTCACGTAGACTTCAAAGGACAGAAATGCTAGAAGCCTTCAAGAAGGTGAATTTGGGATGCTCGCTGTCAGGGGTCCATAACCGGAGCTCCATAACTGCAGCACACAGAAAGGTCCCCAGGCGTTTCCGTAGCCCTGCTGGTGTAGGACTTGCTCCTTTCTTGGGACCCGGGTTACTGGGAAGAGGAGGAATAGTCCTGGTTATAGTCAGTAGTTGGAGTGGGTTTGTGTTTGGGCAACACAGTCTTAAAATGGCTTTCTGTGCCCATTCTGCATGTCCCTTTCTTCTGCCCTGCCTGCTGGTGTTGCAGGTACCCCCAAGTACGATAGGACACGTGCCATCTATTCCTCTCCTGGTGCCCAAAGAGGCAAAATAATTTGGTAAAGTCACAAATCAGTGCAGCGTTTTTCTAGAACATTTATCTGGTTTATTTTGCGTTACGTAAAGGACAGCCATTAGACGGGTCTCATCCCTTCTGCGTTAATCCAGCGGCACGACGGCAGAGCGAGCAAGCAAGAAGGCCCCGTGCACGGCTCTCCATATCTGCTTTCCAATCTTTGAACTCTTACATAATACGTTTAAGACCGGTTTTTGAGTAATCTCTTTTGGGGTCTCATTTCGCGTTCTTAGTCTCCAGTCACAAAGAACAGCTCTGCTCTTCCCTGGTGAAATCCTTTCCAGAAGGTGCACATTATCTACTACGAGGCAGGGCAATGATGAGCATCAATTTCCACAGCAGAATAGAAGCCTGGATTACAAATTACAATTTAATCCTTTTTGCGTCAAAGGATATAATAATCCTTGTAAAATGTGCACTAAGTCTTGTGCTTGGCTGTGTGAGGTTAAGGGGCAAAAACCAAAACAGGGATTCTCTTAAAAAGTTAGACATGGTGAAATGCATGTGTTCCCCACGGATTTCAGAATATATTTACGACTACGTTTCAGCAGCTAAAAATAAAGATGATGGGCTGGTACCTAGACTAGCAGTTTTCATTTCTTCGTATGCTTGCTGCTACTCTGCTAGAACACAGAAAGTGTCTGTCATGAGTGTTGCTTGCTGAATTGCAAGAAAGAATTTAGGTACAAAGTAAGCATTGCTCAAATTTGATTTTTTTTTTTTTATTTCCCCCACCGATGAGAACATTTACCAAAACTAATGAATGAGGAGGTCTCTTAAGAGTGTGGGAAAATAAATTTCTAAATCATCCTGTTATGAGTGTCAAGCAATGTGTTTTTGTAAGGGAGAGAAGGGTAAATAAGGTTGGGAGGGGTAAGGATTTAGTGTTTGGAAATGCAGACTGGAAATGGCTGCACAGTTTCCTGACCAGGCAGCTATTTTAAGAGAGGCAAAGTTTAATAACTTATGAAGTTTAGAAAATAAATCCCACAGTGGCAGACTTACAGTCCTTTGACTGACATGATTATCATCACATGGAGTATGCTGTAATTTTGTTAGATAAAAAGCAAAACAGTTTAGTTGTTTGGAACCAATGGCTTCATATGATTAGTTTATTCCATATTTTTATTACTGGCCTCTGTACTAAATCAAATGTGGCGTACTGTATAGAATCAGTCGCTCTTACTGTGTAGCAACCCACAGAGAAAACCTGAAGATAAGTGATGACATACATGCAATATTACTAATGGAAAGAACAGGGTAAGCGGTTTGTTGCTGTTATTTTTAATGCACTGTATTTAGACCTTTAATGTGTAATATTCTACATTAATAGTCAAAATCCAACAAAGAGAGTAGGACCAGATTAAAATCATAATCTCATATTAAAGAACACATTTAATTACTTGGTCATATAACCGTTATTCCACAATAGGGTATTTTTGTGCTAGACACTAATTGCACGCTTCTAGTGTGACATTGCATAATGCGGTGTCCTTGCTGTCACAAACTGGTCATCTTGCAGGTGAAAACTGTGCAGTGCAGCAGCTGTTATGAAGCCGTAAAGTGTTTATGTTGTAAAAGGAATCGTACTTACAGATTTTTTTTGTTGCTGTCTTCTATGAGAAATTTACAGAAAACGGGAATATTCTCTTAATCTGTCTGGCTGTTGTGTTTTGGTAAACCCAGAAGTGGTCAAAAGTTCTGACCAGAAGATTCATAATTCATGCAAAATGGATAATTTATATTTCTTTATTTGTTGCAGAAAATGACACTTGGCTGAAGAGCATAAGTCACCCTGGAAGAAGTTGCTTTCCTCTGAGCTTTACGTGAGCTGACCCATCCTATGAGGAGGAGGAGGAGGAGGATCCGTCAGCCTTCTTAGCTGTACAATGGGGACTACAGGTGATGACATGGCTTCGGTGGAGCAGAATGCCTCCTTGAACCCTCTGTGCTTCGAGTGTGGCCAGCAGCACTGGACAAGGGAGAACCACCTCTACAACTACCAGAACGAAGTGGACGATGACTTGGTGTGTCACATTTGCCTTCAGCCCTTGTTGCAGCCATTGGACACTCCCTGTGGACACACTTTCTGCTACAAGTGCCTAAGGAACTTTCTGCAGGAGAAGGATTTCTGCCCGCTGGATCGAAAAAGACTCCATTTTAAACTCTGCAAAAAATCCAGCATTCTTGTTCATAAACTGTTAGACAAGCTATTTGTTCTCTGCCCCTTCTCTTCCGTGTGTCAGGAGGTCATGCAGCGATGTGACCTGGCGGCACATCTCAAAAACAGGTGAGCGGTGTAGATGCTCGCGTTGCACGTTCCTTCCACTCTTGGTAGGCCAGCCTGTGTAGCAGTCGAAATTGGGGGCAGGAGGTGGGGAGAGGGTTGGTGGTGGTTTTTAAATTCCCAGTAGAAGGCCGTAGGAAAGGTTCAGCCTGTAACTGGTGCGCAACTGGAGCACTGGATCCCATTTTGGACGTCGCACCAGAAATAGTGTAAACATTTGGAGAGAGTCATGGGGGGAATGACGTGATTCATTAGAGGTCTCAAAAACATGGTTTAGCAGAAAAAGTTAAAGAAAATGGGGATTGTTTATGGTAGGGGAAAAAGGCTGAGAGAGAGGGAAAATGAGAGATGTGCAAACTGTGTCTGCAAAGAGGAAGGAAATAGTGCAATAGGATCAAAGGAGATTTAGTTCAGATTTTAGGGAAAAAAGGCTTTATAATGGTCTGGCACTGGCATAGATTGCTTGGGCGGTGCTTGTGTATTCCCCACTTTCAGAAGTGTTTATGAATGTGTTAAACCAACCTTTATCAGAAACAGTTGCGGCAGAATTGATTTTGCTTTGAGGTAAGCAGTTGGACAGGGTATCTCTCAAGACTCCTGTGAGACCTCTTTTTCTCTATGTTTTTTTTTAAATCCATTTACTGAACAGGTTGATGGTATGTCACGTGAGCATGCTGTGGTTTCTAGGATTTTTTGTTTGTTTGTTTTGATTGCTTATAGAACACTTCCAATACCCTGTTAATTTGGTAGAAACTCATCACTTCACACCAGTGGGAAGTTTCGGTGCAGCTTTCGTGAGTGATTTTGTGTCAGAGAGACACATTCCAGTATTACCTGCACCTAAATAGTTAGGGCCTTATTTTGAACTGTTAGTAATTTTATGGTTCTTTGGCTTTATGCCGTCCTACACTAAATATTTAAACATTGAAAGGAGGCCACGATAGAAAGAGGGAAATAAGATTATTATTAGGTTGGACCAGATGATCCTTGCGGTCCCTTCCAACTTGGTATCCTATGATTCTATGATTATCAAATTCAGATAGAATGATACTTCATATTATGCAGACTAGCGCACTTTGTTCTTCCAGCGAAGGAATTGCCTCCATACCATGTGTGCAGTACCCTGCTACATGAAGATGTTTCATTCTTCTCTGTAAGGCAATGTCATTTTTCTAATGGGAAAATGTTAAACTTGTTTTGAGGGGTACGTTTGACTTCTTTTGTTTCCTGTATAGGTTGGAGAATATTTTCAGGAAATAAACAGAGGATTTGTTTAATCATTAGCTATTTCATTACATGCGTCATGAACAAAAACTTGGACGTACCATTTCTGTTAAAGCTAGAATATGATGGAATTAACGTCAGGGCTAAAAAAAATATTATGCGTATCTATACCAACTAACTTTAAGCTGTTTAGAGATTTATGAAATTATAAGAGGAGTACAGTGAAGAATTATATAGAGAAAGAAGTTATGCATTCAAAGGAAATGTATCTGACTTCAAAGGAACTTCAGGTGAACTGCATCTGCTACCAGAAAATATTCCCTGTATACAACTCAATTCTATTTGAAAACCTATGTTCATTTTGCAGAGAGGGATTTCAGAAAAGTGTGTAACTGTCCCTGCAAAAAAGCATCAAACCCAGAAGAATAAGCATTGCACGTACCCATTGTACATAGACAAAAGGCACTAGGGAAACACAATTCAATATGTGAGTGTTTTTGTCAACGGCATTCATAAAAACAAGCATATCATCTGGCGACTCTTCACGAAAATGGATGGTATGAGTCCTAACTTTTCTGGTCTCCTCGGTCACCAGCTGAGATGAGATCCTTTCATTTCCACAATTTCATCATGGGCTCTGTTCTTACCTACTTTGCTTTCTTTCAATTTGATGCCTTTTTTTTTTTCTTTATTTTTTAAACCAGCCTGCATAAACTTCAGCAGTTGCCCATTTCATGAGGGTGTTTCATGGTTTGGTAGTCTTATCTGTGCTGGTTCTTTAGGCAGAGCCCTCCACATTGGGCTTGAAAACCCCAGGCCCAGAGGGAGGAACAGTGGTGGCTGCAGAGGGATGGGGAGAGGTTTCCTTTCCTGTCGCCCTCCCCAAAAGGAGGGTGGTATTCGCCGTGTGCCTCCTCCTCCTGGCCTCAGTCCGGTCCAGTGACACTGGTGGCCGCCTGGATGGAAAGGTTCATTTGAGAGGTGCATGGATTTACCACCCCATGAACTTCTTTCGCAGTCTCGGTCTTTGTCCCTTTGGAGACTCTTGGAGACCATCTTCGGGTGAAGGGTGACATTGCGGAGGAGATTGTTGGGGCATCAGGCGTGGTGTTGGTGTGTGTGCAGGCAAGTGCTCCGCAGAGAAGGGGAAGAGAGCAGCCACCGCCTGCCTTGGGAACAGCTTGTTCGCGTGTGTATTTCCAGCATGCCCTCTTCCTTCTGAAGGCTTCCGGGGATTCGGAGCCTGGGAGGACGTTGGGCATGCAGGACACGCAGCAACCCTACAGACTGTGGGGAGACTGGAGTTGCCTGCGTTTTGTTGGTTCTTGGAGCCACAGCATGAATGTACATGTGTGGTGCACGTGTCAGGAATGTACAGGGACTAATGAAAAGCCTCTCTCTCTATTCCCCCCCCTTTTTTTATTTCTCCACATGGTGTCCGTGTTAGCTTAGGCTGTTGCTTGTTTCCTCCAGGCAAGTAATTTCTGATTTATATGATGACTTGGGGGTGGTGAGGAAGCCTAACTGTTTGTTCGATTTATAATCCTAATATTAAACTGATTTGATTTTAATAAGAGGCAAAATGCTGGCAAGACTCCTGCTACATATTTGGTTCATCCCCTGGTTTCCCACTGTCCTATGCCTCACCTTTTCAGTCCATTTTTCCTTGCTTGGCATTTCTTTGAATGGTATTACGGCTGTTTACAACAGGAACACATAATGTAGCTGTACATGGAACACTATGTGTGCTCTCTTTAGGTTTATATGAAATATTCATTTACTTAATGCACAAGGTTATTATGAAATCCGAGGGAGCTGAGTCACTAGCTTTTCCTGTTTGTCTGCCGGAAAAAAGCTTTCAGTTGCAGAAGGCTGCTCATTTTCAATTCCTTCTGTTGTCTTGGGATGTGATACACATTTTGAGTATATGGTGATTTACAGTTTTCAATTAAGTTTATTTGCAAACGTCTGAACACTTGTAAATTATCATTGCTGACATAAACGATGGCAGCAACTGCATAGTTTGAATTTGATTTTATATAGATTAGTGATTCCAGTAAAATTCTACTACTGATCATTAAATGTAGGCAAGAAATACAAAATTCAGTATTATTAAAATTTTCAACATAGATTAATATAAACCAGTTTCAACAAGCTCTTACAAGAGCTAGTTTGTATTTCTAAGAAATGCTGTATGGTTGGTTAGTATTCACTATCTAAAAACATTCACACTCAGGTTTTCCAGTGTTGTTTTAATCAGCTCCACTTGAGCATAAAAGCTGGAAGAAAATGTCATCATATCCAGCATGCACCTCGGAGTGTAAGGTAGCTGCAAACTGCTCCGGCGAGGAGATGAGAGGCACAAGACACAAACTGGATTACTTCATGGTCATTAATTGCACTCCATGATACCTCGTTGCAGAAAGAAAATACTCTTGATTTATCAGTATTTAAGTTTCATCACACTCACTTGGAAACTGTGGTTTTCAAAGTTAAACGCAATGCATCTAATCTGACTTAAAGGAAAAAAAATATATGAGTAATGCTGACTTGTACTGGTTTTCTGAGTCGCTTGCTATAGAAAATTTGTTAATGTTTAGTACTGTAGGTGCCAATTCCACTTCTAAATAGCAAAAGTAAATTTATCAGAAGGAAATACAACAAAAAATTATTGAGCTTCTCTGTGTATGATTTTGATTCAGTTCATTCTTATGGATTCTTCAGACCTGAAGAAACTCTATTGTACAAAAACATACTCTGAAATTCGTCCAACTTTTTAATGAGAGGGTAAGGTATTGTGTTTATGTATTGCTTTCGAGTTGGGCTTCAGTTTTCCCCTCCTATATTGTCCTATGGTAGTTTAAGTTACCGTTTTGGATGCAGACATTTTTCCAAATGTTTTAATGTTGAGGCCAAGATTCAAGCCAATTTTATGTCAAGTTAAGTTTGAAATTGATATAGGATTGTATTTTCTGGAGGTGAAGAAATTATTGAGCTATTCACTGTGTGTCAGTCAGCACGCTTAATACATGGATTTAGATTAACAAGATCCACAGGAAAATCAGTTGTATAAATACAAAATTTTATCACTCAAAATCTTGGCAATCCTGGTTATTTTGGTGTTTGTGATAGTGCTGGTGAGTCCTGTTCTTCCCACCCGGTCCCACCTTAGCTGCCAGCACAGTCCCTGCCCTGCTCTTTGTAGCACCAGGAGAGGTGAAGAGAATCTGTAGGATTTAACCCTCTTTTGGCAGGTCTTTTCTTACACCTGAATAAGTGGATAGGCAACAGATTTAGAGTTTTGCCATGCTCTACAGACTCTTTCCATTGCTGGAAAGGTGAAGGATCTTTCTGTGGTGGTTCTTTGCTCCAAAGCCACCTGGCTCCTTGTAGGCTCCTCAGATCATTGGGTATGAGAGGGAAATGTGCAACGAAAGCCCTTTTCCTTTTTTTTTTTTTTTTCTTTTGCCCAAGTCATCTCTGCTTCCCAAATCTAGGTAACTGCTTGTGCCTCCTTTTCTTTTTTTTTTTTTTTCCTGGCAAAAGAAAAACCAAGACCCAAACACTTAACTTTCCAAATCAGCACCGTGTTTTACTCTGAATTGCAGCTGTAAATCTTGCCAGAATGACTGCTTAAGGTCACTTTGCTGTCAAAGTTTTATGAGCAATGGCAAAGGCATTTGGGTTGCTTCTCTGCAGTCTTTGCTTAAATTCAGCTCCTGCTTGGAAAACGATTTAGTGCAACTGGTTTGAGGCTATTTGGTATGTTTGCTTTTATCAAACCTCCAGACTGGGCAGAAGCTGATGGCATAAGTTACAATGAAATCTTTCTTTTCAGTAGTCAGTGAGCAAATGTGGTTTTTGAGCCCCTACTGTTATTCCATGGAATACACTGTAAACTACATCTTAATTTTGTATGAAAGCTCTTTTTATCTGCAGAGAGGGATTGCTGCTAGTGTTCCAAGAAGTCAGCTTTTAAATGAGAAACCCAGCAGACTTGGCTGTAAAAAAAACCCCCAAGCTCCTCTGTCTGATATAGATTAAGAGAAGTTGAAGGTAAAAGCTATGCTTTGTCACCATCCAGAATTGAGCAAAAGCTGGTGCTGAAGGGAGGAGAGGAGGGAGTCGATGAATATAAGCAGAAGCTCATTTTCCGTCCCAAAAACAACTGCCCTTCAAGTTTCCCGATAAATAACATCACTCAGTTGCTGTTGCGGGTTGTTTCATTATCTACTCTTGAGCATCTTGATTCATGAAAGAAATTAAATAATTTCTGGAAATTCTAAAAGACATTCCTGCCTTTCTTCTCACTCCTAGCCACGATATTCTGACTTTGTAGGTAGATAGGAAATGCCATTCCTGTAAGACACATTTCAGTCTCATTTCAGCCCTTTATATAATATGTTATATGAGAATTTGAGGATTGTTATATGAGGATTTCTGTACCCATAAAAACAATCTTCAGTGCTCATTCTGATCCCGAGATGCCCATCCGTGTACATAACTTGTTACAAGATTTAGTCAAAAATGCTCTTTATCCCAGGTATTTGGCAAAAACAGTATTAGTGAAGGTGTGCACCTTTAGAGATTTATTGGCGCTTGTTAACTGTTACAACTGCTGTCTGGTTTTGCTGTTTGTGAATAATACATTCCTACTGCCAATAAAAATCATTTTGTGTTGCAAGTGAAAAGGAAAAATCTCCTTATAGATGTGCTTGAATACCAACATTGGGCTTTGCTGCTTGGTAGGTGGCATATGGTGTTTAAAGACCTCAGAACTGGCATCCCATGAATTAATATCTTGACCGGACAATTAATTTCCTGGCAACGGAGTTCCACTATGCCAGGCTGAAAGTTGTAGTCTGCTACAATTACTGGTGAATTTGGGGAAGAATACGGTTCCTTCTTTTCCTTTTTTTCCTTGTAGGGTGCTGCACAAAAAGCATTCCGCTGAGCTGAGTAGGTGTGCTCAGGAGGCTGTTTACGTTTCTTGATATTAGCCTTTGAAATGATAATTAAATATCATTGGCAAAAATAAACCTCAAACCTATTTCTATTTTGCGCGATGGCTTTCATCAGCTGCCAGGTAACGATGGGGGAATGTGAAGGAGAGTGGAGGAGGATCTGGCTGTGGTTTGGAAGGCTTTGACAGAAGTAGGACACTTCCAGGTGTGATTTTTTGTTCTGTCCTGGTTTCGTACAGTTTAAAAAAAAAAAAAAAAAAAAAGATTGCCATCTACACCAGCTCCTTTGGGATCCACAGGCCTTGTGAGCTGGGTGAGTAAGAGTCAACAGCGCAGTGATTTGGTAGAAGATCCCAAAGGAAGTATCTGTTTCATAAAGTAGTCCCGTAAGGCTGGATACTTGGTGGGACTGAAGCATGGTCCTCTGACAGTGTCAATTCTGAGCTATTCATTACTTCTCTGCTGAAAACTGTCACCCTTAGAGCAGAGCAGTTCAGGGACAGCAAGGACGGGCAGGTTGGGGTGGCTTTGTCCTAAACTCTTGTGGATCGTTGTGGGAGAGCAGATCTGCCAGAGCTCCCAGTAGGCAAGAGGTTTCCTCTGCAAGAGCGTTTACCTCTTGCCGTGTTGCTGCAGAAGTGAATGGTGTTGGAGATTGTTGGGTGTTTTTTCCTGTTGCCAGTGCAAAGATTTGTGTGAGTATAGGGCTAACCCATCAAGTTAAAGTATTTTAGAAATTTAGAGGGAGGGATTTCATCTTTCCTTTTCTTGGCCGTTTGGGATTCTTGTTTTGAAGTTGGCATTGTGAAATGGGGAACAGTAAAAACTTCCTGCCGAGTTTCACCTGTAACTCTGGGTCTCTGGCCACCAGAATAAATTGAGACCAGCCAGATTTCTTAGCAGATCAGTCCCACTATGCCAATGATTTTACCTAGTAAATATTACCTGGGCAAAACCAAGAAGTAGGGTTGTGTTCCATCATTAAAATCAGAGAATCTTTTTCACAAAGCAAAACCTTTCAAATAATTTTCATCTTTTGAGCTTGCACTGTCTTAACTTTGAAGAGCAAGGTCACCAGCAGGTGTAAAACACGTCCCCGTGGGGAAAGCCCCAAGAAATTATTTCGTAAGTGTATAGTTCCATAATGTGAACCATCTCTAATTTATGTACTTATACATATTTTACAGCACATTTGGGTTACCTTATGCCATTCTTCTAAACATACGTATCATGATTTTTAAATATATAAATATAACTTTATGTATGTATAACTGCTGGCGATCAGAAAAGCTATACAGGTGTCTTTTATCAACATTCTTCGGAGCTGAATAACTTTGCTAACATTTCTTCAAAATCCCTCACACCAAAACAGTGTAACCATACAATTGTCAAATCCCTTTCACAGAATGTCAGAACATAATTGTGATTCTCAAAACATTCCAGTTTAACAAGTTAGGACATCATTAGACTTCTGCTGTGTTTTACTCTGTTAACACATTTCTTCTCATGTTGCAAAAATAAAGCATTCCTCCTTGTGTTATAACAATCTGTCAAGTTCCCAAACAGGGAGTCCTTTGAAGACCATTGTTCCTTTTTTCTGACATTGGTACAGCACAAGCATCTTTAGGTGGTCAGCAGCTCCAGGAGCAGGAACTTTAAGAAGGACATCAAATACTGTAAGAAGTGAAATAACAGATGCTGGCAAAACTGTCACAGAGGCAGATGTAAGATTGATGTCCACATCCAATTATCTCCACATAAATGTAAGACCATTCGATAAATGAAGGCTTTCTGGGAATTTGCAACATTGCAGCCCTTCTTTGCAATAAACTATTGTGGGATTTTAAACATAAGCAAAAAAAAAAAAAATTGCATTAAGAATAATGGGAACTCACAAAAATGAGTTTGTAGTGAAAAGCGCCAAATGCTGATGGAGCATTGTTACATGAGGGAAAGCAAAAAATTGCATCTCCTGTGTGAAGTCACGAAGAAAAAAGGGGAGACAGGAGGAGGATGAAACCACTTCTGCTGATTCAAGAGGACACGATGAGCAGAGCTGTTACTTTTGCTAAACTTTTCGTACAGACTCCTAGACAAGCATATTTTTTTTTTTTCAGTATTTTAACACTTAGATTGCAATATAGGTAAAATTTTCATCTTGTTCCTCGCTCAAGTGAGCCCAGGAAAATATGATGCTTCCTTCTCTTGGCTTACTAAGGTGAAAGGAGATTGCTTCAGTGGGTCTCCAAACGTGTCTTTGAAGGGGGCTCCACTTCTGTGGAATTTTATGCCATTCCTGTTTAATCTTTTCAGCAAGGTTGTCTTCCAGAAACTGGAATGTGCATAACAATAAGTTCACATTCAGAAGGTGTGACAGCACATTTAGTTCACGGCCAAAAACCTACATAGTAAAAGTTTTGTGAAGAAGGCCATATTGCTTTGGAGTTCTGTCCACTAAAACATATTTTGGCCTTAAAATCCAATGTATGTACTATTTTTTATTATTAGTTCAACACTGTGGCTTTGAATAATACTGATTTCATTTGATGGAGTACTCGGGCATTTTGTGCTACAGATGTTGCTGCAGGCTTGAAGCGTGGTGTGAACATTGTCTTCACAGGTGTCCTGGGGCTTCTCATCGAAGGGTTGCTCTGGAGAGAAGGAAAACGAGCAAGCTGCAAGCTGAAGCAGAGGGTGAGAGCGGTCCCGGTGGGACGGAGCAGCCTAACAGTTTATCTCCAGACGCAGATCAGGGAATAGTGCCAGCCGAGCAGAGCTTCACCTCGCCCGCCCTTCCTGCATGGACAGACGAGCCCGGCATCGACAATCCGCCTTTTGAGGAGAACACAGTAGCAGACAGTATGTCATCACTTATCTTCTCAAGTCTCTGTTATCAGATGCGGAAACATTTGTGGTGTCAGAGCTTCTCTCTTGCCAACCATGAATGTGCATCTTCATCTTCTGCTCTTTTCTTTTGCAGTTCCTGGAGAAATGTTAGTGGGTTTTGGTTATGTGCAAGTATACAACTGGGATAAGGTCACAGTTAGGAAGGAAAGAAATACCTCAGAGGGTGTGCCAGATGTCATGGTGCTGTATCATCATTTATCGTATCATGGTGCAGTAGGTCATGTTAATCTGCTAGTAGTGCTGGCCTCGCAGCGAGTCGGAAGGAGTGTATTTTCTGTAAAATTACAAAAGTTGTTTTCTAAGATGAGATTTCCTTTCCCCTCTTCCTCCTTCCCCCCGACCCCTGCCTGGATCAGCAGCCTTCCCACACGCGGAGTGCTGTCCTGCTCGAGCGAAAAGGCAGCTGAGTAACTCCTGCATCCATCTGCACCGAACGAGCAGTAACATCTCTACCATCTGGGATCTTAGAGAGGAAGCGCTGAGCCTTACCGCAGAGGAAGGTGGTCATGTCCCCTTCCTTCTCCTCTGTATATGCCATCCTTTAGCATCCCACTTTTTCCTTTTTAGTTGTCTCCATGTTTGCTTCAGAAATGGGCTCCTTCTCTTGACTCAATAACTCATTGGCAGCTCTTAGTGCAGTTGTGAGACCAGCTAACGAAGAGGTACGACCAAGTCATGCACTGTAGGGTAACCCCTAAAACACATTTTTATCATCATCACCAAATGTGAATATGCAAGTGATCCCACTGGAAATGAAGTGTGTGAAATTTATAACAAAGGACAGGATCCAAAGGGATGAGAATATCCTTTCCAATCCAAATGACCCCATTTCAAGAAGCATGGATGCTACTAAGTCGTTAGAGAGCTGTTTGTAACGAGCTAGGTGTTCCAACAAGTAGCGGAACTAATCCAATTGCACTTGTTTCGTTTGTTGTTAAACCATTGTTGTGTGGCCTGTCTACATTGTCCTTTGGCAATTTGCTTTATTGAAAGTGAATGAGGTATAAAGGATATTAATCATCTTTCTTTTTAAAAATAATTGGCAGCAAATCAACAGCCACCTACCTTGCCTGAAGGAGAGATCACTACTATTGAAATTCATCGGTCCAATCCTTACATCGAATTAGGAATTAGCATAGTGGGTGGCAACGAAACACCTTTGATCAACATTGTCATTCAAGAGGTTTATCGAGATGGGATCATAGCCAGAGATGGAAGACTTCTTGCTGGAGATCAAATACTTCAAGTATGGAACCTAATTACGTATTCTATCTGCTTGCTTTCCATTCAGTCTGCGCAGAACTGCCTGTTAAACGAGATGGGAGATTTTCCTTGTCAGACCATGTTGTGTAAATGTTAGCTTTGCAATTACCAGTTGGAAGGCAAATTAATATTCAGAGCAGAGCCTGTTGTTCTAGCACCTTCAGCTATCATGCTTTATGTTGTTTGTTGGACCAGTCCCTGGGAATTATTTTTCCTCCTTAGCATCTCTTATCAGTGTTTAAAATACGAGTTTATTTTTCTGTTTTTAAATGTTGTGGGACTTGGTCTTTATTTCAACTTTATGCATGCTTTCTGAAGGAACCCAAGGTTACTTCTGGCTAACAAGTTGGCGTAATTTGTCCTATGTAAAAAGCAATTTGTGGACTGTAAGGCCGACTTCATACAAACTGATATTTTATTCTGGCTTCTCTGTTACCTTCCAGTAGCTGAGGCAGTTGACCTGCATCTTTCGGTATGTGTAAAAGAGTCAGTGATATTCTTCACTGGCATGATTTGAAGCAAGATGCTCTAAATATTTTTCCAAAGAAGTAACCAACTTAAATTTTATTTGTTTGTTTATGATCAAATGTGTATTTTTGTTATGGTTTTAAGTAGTGAGCCACAGTAAAAAGATCAAATTCTATTAATTTGGGAGTTTTAATTTTATGTTAGGGGAAGGGGTTGTTTATAGGACTCTTAACAATGGCAGTAACCAAGTTCTACATAAACAGGACAGTCCTCCAGCTTTTTTCTATTTTTAATCATTCCACCTGAAACAAATATATTACTGTCATTTCAAAATTACTTCAGTAACAACATTTGCTTTTGATCTGATAGCCTAAGATCAGTCCAGAAGCAGTATCAGCCTTTTTCATTTCACTGTTTTGAAATCAAACCATTAGAAGTAGCTTAAATACTGTGGTTACCCTTGGAATGAAATTAGTTTGCACTTCAGAAAATAAAGTCCCTTTTGAGAAACGTGCCTTTTTCCTCTTGTAGTGTTAGCGTAGTAGCTGGCCAAGAAAGCAACCCAAGAGGTTTCCAAAATGTTACTTTTAACAAGCAGTTGCAGACACTGATTGAATGCTGCCTAATTTATTTCAATACTCACGGGCTCTCCTTGGTTGCCAGAATAGGGAGCTTGACCTCCAGTGAAGCTTTGGAAATTCTTGCTGTTTGGGCAGGTGTCAGTTATAGTTTCCAAACCCATAAATGGCAATAAATTGACTATAAATAGAATTTATAAGCTGCAGCAATTCTTCCCTATCAATGTGCCGGCTCTGGGGCTGTCCCATGCTAAGGGGTGTCCGTGAGAGTCCTGCTGTCACGCCGAGGGAGAGGTACAGGAGGTAAAAGCCAACATTTTTGGAAGATAAAATATCTTTATTGCTTTGAATTTACCTGCGCAGGTGCTGAGCTGTTGTATTAAAATGACCAGGCTCAGTCTCTGCCAGCTGTAATTAAGTGCAGTTACATGCAGCTCAGCGTGCACACTTCAGTCGAATATTTCTGAAAATGTCTTCAAAGGCTTTTATGAGCAGTAAAGGACTAAAAGAAAGCCAGAAAGGACTGTGAGGTGAAACTCAGCATTTTCTTGCCCAGTCAAACAAGAAGTATTACCCTTTCAAGATCTGAGGGAACAGCATTTAGTAGCAGCTACATAAAAGCGTATGTTGTCTGCAAGGTGTAGATAGATACCTAACATTTTCAAAGTGCTCTACAAATTGTCCTTTTTTTGTGCTGGACTGTGACTGTAATTCATGTAAAGCATGTCCTAATGAGAATCTCTTTCCCCAAGAAATGCTAAGGCTGTTTTGTTCTGAAATTGTGAACTGCCTTGTAGGAAGAATTACTACATTTTATTGCATATATTCTTCTGTGCCCTTTGAATGCTTCCATATTTTATGTATTTACTTTGGCTAGCGACAGCTAAAAATAAAACTGGATTTAATTTAAGGGCTCTGACAGATGAGCCCTAGTGGGTTTTGCTGGTGGCAGCTCTAAATGTTATTTCTCCTAGCTGTGCCTCCTTTCCCTCTGCCCAAGGTTACAGCCTGTCTCGGAGCAGTAGCAGAGCGGGACACGGCCGTGGTTTGGTGTCCGAGCTCCCGGTGCTGCCAGGAGCGGTGGCATTGTGCTGGGCACGGGGCTGGAGGTGGCTCAGCGCGGGTACGGCTACCCCTTCACCCTGCTGAAACCACCATGGCCAAATGGTTTGGCATTGACCTCTGGGAGCCCCCCCAGCTCAGATGTGTGATGTAAATGTGGTGGCTGTCATACCTAGATTTATGAGTCCTTTCTCTTCCTATTTTTTTTAAGTGTTAATATTGCTATTCGATGGTGGGAAGCTGCAAGACTGTATTTTTCCTTACTTAGGTTGCAATGGGGACCATTGTAGGCTTAGGTAAGGCAGGTCAGTATAGTCCATTTGGTGTTAGTTTCTATCTGCTGAAATTATGGGGCCGGGCTTCCTCCATCAGGGCACAATAGTACGTGCTAAGGATGAAGGTTTAGTGTTAACTTTGAACACCTTCTTACAGAACATGGCAAATACAGCTTTTGTGCAGGTTTTTGTGGTGCTCCTGTTTTCTGCCAAATCTCATTGCACTGTCAATTTTATCTTATCTTTATAGCGCAAGAAATGACTGAAGATTACTGATCAGTGGGCCACATAACAAACACAATTCTTGTTTATAGGGAGTGAAAGTTTAATGTGCTTTTCATTTACAACTGAATTTTGAGTGATACAGGTTATAAGTCTGAAACTCTGACCTAGCGGAAGTCAGTGGAAAATCTCCTAAGTTCATGCTAAGACTTGAGAACTAGTACAACCACCTTTTTCTGCTGCCTTTATGAACAATTTTCATTATTCTGGATTTCAAGGGGTTTTTAAATTTTTCACATCATGGAAGTACTGCATATTGCTAGATACAAGCTTTCTTCAGAGATTTGGATGTATGCTTTTTATAGTTGTTATTTTATAGTTTTAAGTGATGCTGGGCTTGACACTGAAAGCACACAGAAAGTTTTTGTCCTGGAGAACAAACAGTGTAAAGATCTAAGGAAGATGACGTAGGAGACCCAGAGAACAAAACCCCTGGATTATAATGACAACGGGTGTTGACTGTAAGAGAGATGTTGTCACCTTTGTGGGACAAGGCCTCAAGTTGCACCAGGGGAGGTTTAGATTGAATATTAGGAAAAATTTCTTCACTAAAAGGTTTGTCAAGCATTGGAACAGGCTGCCCAGGGAAGTGGTTGAGTCACCATCCCAGAGGGATTCAAAAGATGTGTAGATGTGGCACTGAGGGACATGGTTTAGTGGTGGAGTTGGCAGTGTTAGGTTAACAGTTGGACTTGATGAACTTAAGGGTCTTTTCTAACCTAAAAATAAATAAATAAAAAAGCCAAAATGAGTTTGCAGGAGAGTACGGAAGGATGAGAGAAGAAGCCTGGTAGGGTCAGATATGTAGGTTGCTCCAAGGTTGGTTTTGCATTTAGCTCTGAATTTAGTTTGGAAAGGACTTTATTTCCATAACCAGTAACAACTAAACACGTGACAATATCGTTCGGATTTTTTTGTGGTTGTTGTTTTGCAGGTCAATAGCTTTGACATAAGCAACGTGTCTCACAACCACGCTCGCGCTGTGCTCTCCCAGCCTTGCTCGGTGCTGCACCTCACCGTGCTGCGAGAGAGGCGGTTCGGCAGCCGCACACACAACCACGCCGACAACACCAGCTCCTTGCGGGAAGACAGCTTTCAAGTGACGCTGCATAAACGTGACTCCAGCGAGCAGCTTGGCATTAAACTTGTACGCAGAACAGATGAGCCAGGAGTTTTTATTCTTGATCTTTTGGAAGGGGGATTGGCTGCTCAAGACGGCAGGCTCTGCAGCAATGACCGTGTACTTGCAATTAATGGACACGACTTGAAGCACGGGACACCTGAGCTTGCTGCTCAGGTTATACAGGTAATTTGCATTCCCTACCCAAGTCCTTAGCTCAGCTTCATTTCTTGGGCAAAGCCTGGGGTAGAGTCTGTCCTGGACAGAACAGCTTGTGTAACGCCTGAAAGCCTGCGGCGATGCAATTTGCTGTGATTTATGTTCTGGAAATAATAGTGCAAAACAGGGTCTGCCTTGGCACCTAGCAGGTGAACTTCACCTCCTCAGAAGTGAAAAGTGCCTTAGTCTTCCCTGGCATACAGCCTGAGAGGTTAGAAGACTGCTCATGTGAGCAGAGAGAGTGCCATGTAGCCTATTGCTTAGCAGAAAAAAAAAATAGAGTATTATATTTGTGTATGTACTGTAGTTTTAACCTCTCAGTAAACTCTATAAAAGTGGGCTTTGTTTTGTATAGATTTGCTTGTGCACGGAATTGGGGTTCAAACAGGAAAGTGATTTGTCAAACTTCATTGAGGCAACAGGTAGCATCTGGGAAGGAAAAAATAGGTCTCCCATGAATCCCATGCAGTAAAACTCATTTTCTGAGTATTCAGGAAGGGGCTATTTCCAGTGGCTGGCTCTGTTCTGGACACAAATATTACCCAAAGCTTGATACAGTGTGACATATGACCCTTCCCTGTTCCCACAGGAAAACCTTTACTCCATGCCTTTCTCCCAGTCTGTAAGGAAACAGCTGCAGCACATTGCTGCTTCCT